GAGAGCCTATTTAGGGGGTAAATGAATCATCTTTACCTCCTCCCCCCCAACCCCTGCCTCTGTTTCCCTAATTGTTCCCTCCTTTTCTGATGGTCTATTGTTTCTAATTAAGGGCTTGACTTCAATAGACCTTAAATGGAGATTCCTGGGGGTCCCCGGCTGGCAAACAGCAAATAGGGAGCGTTTCCCCCTCCACCACCCTTTTCCCCCAAACGTGACCTTATTAATTAAGCGGTTTGATTTGCCCATTTCCACTTGTTATTACTGCTAATGATCTCAGGGAGGGGGAGCCCCGGAGCTTTTATTTGCAGTAGCCTGCAACCCTCCGCTCGCCGGGGAGCGCTTTTAGTGTCCCCTTCCCGGCGAGGTCTCCCCGCCATCATCTCTTTCCCCCTCCCTCGAGTTTGCCTGCGCATCCCTAACACCAGGCTTTTTCTCTCTCCCTCCTCGTCTCTCTCGCTTTCAAGGTATGGTTTAAAAACCGCCGGGCCAAGTGCCGGCAACAGCAGCAGCAGCAGCAGAACGGGGGCCAGAATAAGGTACGGCCAGCTAAAAAGAAGAATTCACCGGCCCGGGAAGTGAGTTCGGAAAGCGGGACCAGTGGGCAGTTCACTCCCCCCTCCAGCACCTCAGTCCCCACCATTTCCAGCAGCAGTGCCCCCGTATCCATCTGGAGCCCGGCGTCCATCTCCCCGCTCTCAGACCCCCTGTCCACCTCTTCCTCCTGCATGCAGAGATCCTATCCTATGACCTACACCCAGGCATCAGGCTACAGCCAAGGATATGCTGGCTCAACCTCTTATTTCGGAGGGATGGACTGTGGATCTTACTTGACCCCTATGCACCACCAGCTTCCCGGACCGGGGGCCACCCTGAGTCCCATGGGTGCCAACGCGGTCACCAGTCACCTCAACCAGTCTCCAGCCTCCCTCTCCACCCAGGGCTATGGGGCCTCCAGTTTGGGCTTTAACTCCACCACCGATTGCTTGGATTATAAAGACCAAACCGCCTCCTGGAAGTTAAACTTCAATGCTGACTGCTTGGATTATAAGGACCAGACATCGTCATGGAAGTTCCAGGTTTTGTGAAGAACCTTTGTGATAACGAGAGAAATCGCGATGAGAACGAACAGGCTGGGCTGAACGCTCCAGTTTTAGTCAGGTCTTGGTTAAATTAAAGAGAAAAAGAACTCAACGGACAAACAAACGAACAAAAAAACCGACGGCGACAAGAGGGGGACAGTGTTGGTGTGATCCCGTTCAGACTCATCTCCTGCTCAGACGCTCTGGAAAAGGAATAATAAAGAGGAAAAACGGAGGAGGAAGGCCTTAAACGGACAGATCATCTAGTGAGCAGAAAACAGACAGACCCATCTGTGTTCTTTCTAGTTTTAGGCAATTGTTGGGTTTCTTTGTTTGGAAGAGGTGGGAGAGCGTCCCACCTACGGGCCAGTTTTAAAAAAAAAAAAAAAAAAAAAGAAACAGGACTTTGGTAAAAAAAAAAAAGTCTAGGTTTTTATTTCTTTTTTTTTTGTGTGTGCGTGGAAAGATCCTTCACCCAGAGGTTTCCAATGTGTTAGCTAACCCTCGGTTAAAATATTCGGAATGGACAACATCTCTCTTTCGCTCCCTCTTTTTCTCCCTCCCTCTTTCTTTCTCTCTCGCTCCCGAGCTCATCCAACTGTTTCATGCCCAACTTGCTCAAGTTGGCACCCGGAGAACTTGGTTCAGGGCTGTGTGGGTTGTGTGACTGATTGTCCTAGCTGCACTACTTTATTTAAAGATTAAAAAAAAAAAAGAGCAGATCACTTGGAGTCAATATGTAGTTTTTAAGAGACAATCAGTGTGTGTCTTATATAAATGGTACATCTGTGGTTTTTAATCTGTGCTAGACTTCAAAACTGTGATCTCCTGTATTGTATGCAACTATGAACTCTGCACCAGCGGGAGTTCTGCTGTGATTTAAATAGGTTATAATTATAAGTGAAATTCAGAGCAACTGAGTTACCTATTATCATCTTTTTAAAAATAATTACAAAATATATATTACA